TCAATATCCAGTCTATGACCGAAAATTATTTCGAGGTTTTCGACGTGCTCTAGGTAAATAGAGCGAAAACGTTGGAATCTCGAGATATGAAGAGGTCACAGACGCACCACAGGTGATATAAATAGTCGCCTAATGTGGCTCTTCAGAAGAACTCCGTGGGTGCAGATGAATCAGAGACCGGGTGGCTGTCTACGACCGAATTTATGTGACGATATAAATCGATGTCTAATATGGCTGTGCGATTTAACTCCGCAGACGATGTATCCGATATCGAGTTACCTTCCGTCACATCCATGGTGCAGGAGTTGCAATAGTTTCGACAGATTTACCGTCCACCGAGTTATCAACTTATCAGTAACGGCACCTGCCACTGCAAAAGTTGGAGAGATCGATACGCCGTCAAACATCATGTCATCTTTGCCACATGTTCAGCGGATCGAAGCCGACGTGCTGCAGTCAAGTCCGACGTACAACACGGCAGCGCGGCAGTTTGACGGTGACGAGCATAGACAAGTATATAAAACGAGTCTAAAGAGTGTTAGACGAAACCATCGGTCCACCAGGCAAATATGGTATCCTGAATATGGTGGTAACCAGCGGCGGCTGCAGTGATGCAGTCACGAACCAGACGGTAACCAAGGTAATTCCCAAACGCCGCTCTCTGTGGAGCCTATATATATATATATATATATTATAATATATTATAATATTATATATTATAATCGGTCCACGTCAATATGACATAATATTAATCAGTATTATAAAATATATAATGTTGGTCGGTGACAGCCGATGAGGTTTCGACGACGATGATAATAATAATATCATACACGCCCAGTTGCGACTTGCGATTAAAGGTCAAGGTCGTGCGGCGAGACGGTTTTTCGATTGGCGGCCCGCGTTCCGTGGTGGCTAAGTTGTGCACGTATCTATTGTGCTTTTAGCCATTGTTAATATAATAATATTGTTATTAAGTGACAAGTAGTTCCTATTTTAATATTTTAAATTTTAATGGTTACTTGGATTTTTGTACGTGCTACGTACTGTTCTATGGTACGACTGGATTTAGTAAAAATAGCAGCTATTTTTATTTTACCTAATGATTATAATTTACAATATAATATTACCGAAATAATAATCTCGAGTTCGAACTAGGTGTGCGAATTCGCCGTCGTCGTTGTTCGCCAATCCGTTCGGTCGGTTACGTCATATCGTAGCACACACACATGCACAGTGTTTGTTAATTCGTAGTTCGGTTATTATTAATTAATCCAAAAGAGAAACCAGGGTTGCGAGGTAAGTGGTGGTCGTTAATATTATATAAACGTTGCAAAATAAAAAACAGATTCATCTATCTTGGCCCATACTTATAAAAAAAAGAATAAAACTATCAATAATAAATAATTCCGGATACTTCTTCTCATTTTTTAAATTAATTAATATTTTTTTCTTTCTTTTTCACTCACTCACGTGTACCATTCAAAAGAAGTTTAACTTCCCGCGCGCGTACTGGTAACACACATACTTTTTTATTTTTATTATTCTTATTTTGTCTTTTAATGTTTACATTTTTAATTTTAATGTTTATACTACTTTAATTATTATACTTAGGTTTTTTATTAGTACTCCAATTTCACCAATAAGAGGTTTTTTCCTTAGTGGTGTGTTGGGCCATTATACTCGATATTCTTTTATTTTAACTACTGTACTGAGATAGTGAGATCATATTATGGCTAATAAATAAATTATTATTATATTATATTACATTGGCACAATTTTTTTTATAAGTATTTAAAGTTCGAATTTTGACAACATTTATCAAATTTAAAATGTAACAATTATTTTGTAGTTAAAAATTTATAAAATGTTCAACTTTTATATCCAAGGATTTAAAATGTAATACAAGGTTCCACGCAAATAGGTTATATATAAATTACTTTATTCACAATAATATCATCAAATATACTTTGTAATATCGTAGGCTGACTGACCGTTTTCGCTCAGAATCGTTTTTCTTATACAAATTTTGTTCTTAAAATCTTATTCAAATTTAACACCATCCATTAAAGTGACCCACTTGTAACCTACTGTACAGCAGAGCGACTTTTTTATATTTAAGGATTGAACATTTATAACAAGGTCTTTCATATGTATAGTATAAGCTGTAACCAAATAATAAATTAATACTGTTTTATTTTACTGATATTTTAAGTTCAAATTTGGACTAAATTGGATATTAAACAAATAATACAATAACAATTTATATTCTGTTGTAATTTACAATTATTATTCGTATAGGCACTTGCAAGTATATGGTTATATTTTATACACACAAAGACATTTTAAAATTCATAGTTTTCGGCCAAAGTTAATTTAACTTTCTGTATAATATATAGGTAGTAGTGTATTAGTGTATAACTAATAGTAAAATTAATTCCTTTAATAGCAAAAATATCAAAAATATGTTGACACTTAGTAGGTAATATAGGATGACACACCGTTTTCGCTTTGAATCGTTGTTCGTATGTACCTAACGAGAAACGATTTATTATTGAATTCAAATTTACCAAATCCATTACGGTATTTTATGATTTTAATACCTATGTTCTTGAATAATACAGAACATTATTCTATGATCTTAGTTAATATTAGTAGTACCATTCATGTGATCAAAAATCTCAATAGGTACTTTATTTTATTGAAATTTTAACATTTCATGGGCCCTCAGAAGAACATATTCATGGGGCCCATTATTCTGTTAAAATGAATTAAAATGCAAATTCACTATTAGTACCAAAAAAGAAACAATATTATGTTTGACATAATAACAATTTTTTGTTTTTAAATGCCGAAAGATTATTGGGACTCAAAGTGATCAGAAAATTTAGTGGCCCAAAGTGGTCAGAACATTTAGGGACACAAAGTTGTCAGAACATTTACCAATTTAACAACTGAACAATATTAATAATAATAATAAATAGAAAAAAAAACCCCAGACAAGACACAAAAGCCGGGGGGGGGGCTTGATACGTGATGGCGAGGTGCGGCCACTGGTCACCTCAATACGTTCTCGAGGCAGGTCCCGCGGGCGGACAAGTGCGATCGATGGCGCGTTTGCTCGCGGGTGACGACCAATCGCATGGTGGCCGGCTTGAGCCAGCTTTATGGACGACGATTGACGGCGAGCGGCTATAGAGAGCAACTTCGTGCGCGTCGACGACGAGCGGGCGTTGAAGTCGACTGTTGTGACAGCGAGTGGTGACGACACGAGACACAAAAGCACCGGGCGAGCGAAGACAGCTCTATTTGGTGCTTCGGAACCGGCGGTGTGACTAGCCCGACGGGACGACCACTGACCGAAAATGGGAGGGAACTTGCGGACCGAGCGATCCTAATATCTTCGGCCCGCAGACGTCCCGGCCGCACCGCCGAACCCTGAAACACGATCGGGCGATGCGATGACGTCAGTGTTCAGAAACATATTAGCTCGATCGCTCTCCCGTCGCGCCCCGAGGTCTCCGCCGCCGCCGCCGTCACGAGTCCGTCTTCGTGCACTCCGCGGACCGCGACCGTCGTCGACGGGGCGGTATCGTTGCCCTCGCCGGGGCAACATAGCTAGCCACCATTTCGTCATTTTCGTCCATCCGTGCAGGTCGTCAGTCCGTCGTTCCTCGCTCGACCGACGCCGCCTGGCCCGAGCCGAGCCGCCTGCTGATGGTCTCGCGTGTCAACAACCACGAGCTCGCGACGCCATCGACCGCCATCCGTAGTTCCGCGGGTGACCTGTCTGGCTGTCTGTGTGACTTCTGTCAAGTACCGATCTCCCCATGTCGCCGACGTCTTGTTTGGTGCTCCTCGGCCCGAGGATGAGGGAAGGGTGAACTGCTGGTTCACTCCGCTCGGAAGCACCCACACAGCAGCATGAGGCCAAACCGCCTAGCTCCTTTCCACGTAGCTGCCATAATTCGCCTGGGCTGCATACGGACACCTTTGGGTTGTACACTTGTACTGCTGAAGGCTCTTCCTGGTCGTTTTGCCTGGCCAGTACATCCTCGACCCTCTCTTCGACTTGCGAATTAAGAAACTTACTAATAACTTCTCTGCAGCTATATTTTTTTGATCACACTAAAATGTAAACAAATATAAACCAAATTAATATCCTAATATTAATGTCATATATTATTTGTGTAATAAATAACTAAATATTTTTACATTAGGTAGGTAAATGTGTAAATTAAAATTATAAAATAAATACTTACTGGATTTTCATTATTCGACTCATTACCACTAGGTTTTGATTTCTTAAATACATCATATTATGTTTTGACATGGTTGGGCTGCAATTTGTAATTTAAATTTTTTTTTCGCGTCCTTTGGCAGCTCCGTTTTTTGGCTTATTAGAATTCATTATTTAAAATTTTTACAAACAAAAATAAAAAGCGTAAATATATCCAATATAAGGAACGACCCGCTATTATAAAAATATATGTCTTAATACAGACTAGTAGACCATACTAGACAAGACTAAAGTTTGTAATGTGTAGCGTTTGTACTTGAGCAGCAGTGTGCACGTCGTCACTTCGTCACTCGTCAGTCAGCAATCGGAAATTCTGAACTCGCGTAAAAATAATTATTAATTGTTATTTTTTGGATGTATATGGTATATCTATGCTCACCCACACTGATATGATTTTACACATTTACATAAATGTACAATAAACACTAGAACACAAATACACAATACTACAAAAAACCCGTCAGCCACCACCCGGCGACCAAACGATGACCTGCCTTTAAATGGAATTATTTAATTATTATCCATATTACATTGTTATTTGTTTATTAAAAGTTATAAATAGAAGCATCGCCGTACCAAGCTGAATTAAATGTATATTTTCTTTATTTTGTGTTAATAAAAACTTGCATTTATAACCATTTTATAATATAAGGTAAAGATAAACATAATAGACTTATTTTGATATAATTATTATTATTTTATTTTAGTTAAAATATTTAAATTTTAAATTTACATGGTTCGGCCCGGCGGCCTTAGAAAGCCTGCGGCCCAGTAGGACTTTTCCTACCGTCCCACCTGGCCAGTCCGCCTCTGAATCAGCCTCAGCATACGTGACCAACTTTTCGTCGACCTTTGTCTCGGCGACCGTTGTCTCATCGACCTCTGTTTCGGCGACCATCGTCGGGACACCTCCGCCGGCCTTCGTGTCCGGAGTTACCTCGTCGATGAACACAGCGTCCATGATCTCTTCCATGAGAGTGGTTACGATGTCTTCAATTGTCCTGTCTTCCTCGTCGGTCATGCATTCGTCGACGAGGGTACCTATAAGTGTTCTTAGTATTTCGTCGACGAGGGTACCTATAAGTGTTCTTAATATTTCGTCGATGTTCATTTCGCTACGGGCATCCATAGTTGACGGTTTTAAGTTGATCACGGTTGACAGAAGTAGAGCAAGTTGTATATAAGGTTGGAGAAAAAATTGCAAGTGAATTATAAAAACACTCTCGGTCTAAACAGTCATCGAAAAATACAAACATTCATCTGACGACGGATACGACACCGTTTATTACTAGCCAGCGAGTACGGGAGCGTCGTTCTTTTTACGGCAAGCGTTCGGGTTTCGAACTCGCTTACTTTCCCAAACATCATTATTATTGATGCACAATTAATACATAGATACGCGTAGGTAGGCACCTATATAATATTATATTTTTACGAGGATTCGTATTTTTTTTCATTAATTTTAATACTTTTTCATATATTTGAGTATTATACATATTCTGAATAATATATTTCTTAATAAGTGTTCTGATTTTTTTATAGTTATTTTAAGCTCAGAGTTGGATGAAATAGGTAACATATTAAACCCAAGAATGACGGTTTGAGTTATTTTGTTGTAATTTAAAAATATTATTATTGGGTACCTACTTGAAACTTTTAAAATATATTATTATATACCTATTTGGCAAAACTGTAGTACTAATGCCTAATAGTAAAATAAATTTAATCATAAAATATACCTACTTAGTATATTAAAGGCTGACAGAAGTACAGAACGTATGTTCGCTTAGAATCGTTTTTCGCATACAATATTAGAATTATTTTATATCATTAAATTAAAATTTAACACACTCATTATGACATTATCCACTTAGGTACCAGCTTTTTATTTTTCTCGATAATTGTAAAAACCAATGAAAAATTGTTTGCTTTTGATCCTCCTCACCCAAATGTTATGAACTACCTATATCTTATTTTCTGTTAACGAACCATCCTCAAAGACATTTTACAATTATGTGTTTTTTTTTTGGTGTGTCATCAACTTTTAGGACAGTAAAAGTGCTTAGATTTTCTTCAACAGTATCTTTTCTGATAGGTAAGTGAATCTAGTTGGTACTTTAGGGGGACAAAAGTAAACATTTTCGTCTTTTCGACATAATCTATTTTGGTTTTTGGAGTAACTTTAAAACAAATGACTGTACCTAGATACATAACATTTTGACTGAATGTTTATATTAGCATATTCTATACACCATAACATTTTCAAAATATTTTGACTTATAAGCATTTAAAGTTCAAAATTCATCAAAAACTCGAACATCTGCTAATTATTTTTTAGTTAAAAAATTATATTAAATATTAAATTTGTGTGATCCACAAGAATGACTCACTTGCCCACCTTTTTAAGATTTAATTTATTAATTTGTTTTCAAATATTTTGTTTCATATTATCACTAAGAATTAAGAAAGCACTTAAACTTTATTTTTCAAACCTAATCAAGTGCAACTGAGTAATTATTTATTTCAACACAGTGAACACGCCTAGCAGTAGGTATATTTAGATACGTGTATTGGAGATTAAAAAGAGCTGCAAATAACGATTTCGATGGACGAAATAGATAAAAGTATAATATAATGTCAATGTGTTTGTGGATCTATTTAATATTTTTAAAATGGTTATAATTTAAAAAAAAAACGTTAACTAATATAAATTATAATAATAATCGTACCCACCTAATCATTATTGTTAGTAGTTATAATTTAGTAATTTATAATATATACAATATTCATGTTCTGAGCCGAGCTATAAATTAAATTTACATATCAATTTTATAATTTTATAATTCAATTGTCAACTAGAATTTGTTAAATAGTTAGAAAAATGTATGTTAATGCGATTTTGTAAAGCATGTTTTGTCAAAACTAAAAGGGCACATATTAAATTTCAGCCCCAGGGCCCAATAGGTTCTTAATCCGTCCTTGAATATAATGTTCTGATATTAATTTGAAAGCAGTTTTAAATTCGTCACTAAATTATCTATGCTATGACTTATTAATTTTTCTGATTTTTATTTTTTTTTTTACTTTGAAATTTACTAACAAAAAGATATAAATCATATTCATAATTCAAATTTAAATACATTGATATAGAATATGAAAAAGGTGCTCTGCTGTACATTAGGTTACAAGTGGGTCACTGTATAATGGATGGTATTAAATTTGAATTCAATGATATAATATCATTGTATAAGAAAAACGATTCTGAGCGGAGACGGTATGTCAGTCTAGGTATAAGACATATTATATACTTATCTATGGTATTAAAAAAACTGACCTATAATAAATTCCAAATTAATCATATCACAATATTCATTAGGTACTTATAACGCGTTATACATCAATAACAAACCCTGATACTATCATTGATATATAATATAGTGTACTTTAGAAGTTTCAAGTACCCACGAATAGTATTATACACTCACAACAAAATGACTAAAATAGGTATGCTAGGTTTTTAATATGTAATTTCGTCCCAAATTTGAACTTAAAATGTCTGTAAAAAATAACTGTGCTCATATATTTTTTAGATTTTTTGGCTACAGTATGAACTATTTATGAGAATCTTTTTTTTTAAATTTTCAATCTTTAGCTATAAAAACTGAACATTTTAGAATTTATTAATTACGATGGTTAATAATTTTCGAGATTTTGAAAAATTCTGTCAAAATTCGATGTTTAAATGCTTATAAAAAAAAATTGTGCCTATGTATTTTTAATATTTTTCAACTGATATTGTAACACTATATCAGGAGCCTTGTATTAAATATTTACACTTTTTGGCCCAACAGATAAAACTTTATTGATATTTATAGAAAAAAAAAACTAAAAAAATTGAAAACTGAAAATGTCCATTAACAGCTCAAAAAGAGTCAAAATATTTTCAAAATTGTACGGTGTAATTGCTAATCTGAACATTCAATGAAATTTTCATGTATCTATAGTTATTCGTTTTTGAATAACAACAAAATAAGAAAATCGCTACATGAGAAATCGAGTGAATATCCAATGTTGTAAAAATTTGAATTTCAAACGCTCATAAAAATTTAATTTGACTTTCTTATAGAATTTCAAAATCAAAAAATCAAAACATCATATTAGCACAGATTTTCAAATTTAAATATTTAATCTATATTATTAGTAGGTATCTATCTATGAATTGAGAACTTAACATATTTTAAAGATAATCTGAGTCTAAAAATATTTTATAGTTTATAATATATTAATATAAGACTAATACTAAACAATAACTATAACAATATAAATTATGAATAATAATAAGTTGTGAATATACAAAATGTTGCTGTATAATAATATTTAAATTATATTATAATTATTATTCTTATTATATTATTATGTATTCATTGTTCCATTAAAAATCTAAAAAAAATTTACTTAGTACTTAAGAACATCAATTATGCTACTTGCTACTATGGCTATACGAGGATAATAATTGTTAGGTACCTACATGAATAGTTAATCATAATAAACCAGACTGCTTTTTTTTTCAGTCATCTTGACTGTGACTTTTTTAATTCAAACATAGAATAGTAAATATTCTATTAAATGAACAAAATTATTTTTATATACATATCATGTAATAAGTTAAGCTACAGCTTGAGTTATGTATTATTTTTAAGAAATTAAAACTTATAAAAATAAAACATACAAATGTACCTTTATTAATAATATAATTTATTTTGTTAAAAACAAAATGTATAAATGTATCTAAATAAAATAGACAGTTTGCGTACCTTAAAACTCAGCAAACTCTTTGGCGTATTTTTCCGTCGGAGAGATTATCAATGCTTCTTCCTCGTATTCGTCAAAATTGCTTGTGTCTCCTGGTCCTCTGCACCTAGGAATGAACGGAGCTTCAATTTTCTTCTGGAACACGGCAATCCAATCTGTCGATGCAAACCAGTTGTGTCCTTTGATATCGTTGACACCGTTCTTCAGGTTGCCAAATCGTTTACAATGATCCACTTGTAGCAAGTTCCTCAGTAGGTGTTTTAGGTCAGAACCAAAATGTGATGGGAAGCGTACTTTGCCCGAGACGATTTCCTCGTATATCTGTATAGGTTTGTCAGCAAAGAACGGTGGATAACCAGCAGCCATCTCGTATACTAGAACTCCAAGAGCCCACCAGTCGACAGCTTTATTATATCCCTTGCTTAATATAATTTCAGGCGCCAAATACTCAGGCGTACCACACAGGGTCCATGTTCGCCCTTTGACACGTTTCGCAAAACCAAAGTCAGTCACTTTCAAATAGCCCTGCGAATCGATCACCAAGTTTTCTGGCTTGAGATCTCTGTAGATTAGGTCAAGATAGTGTAGGTACTCGAATGCTAGCACTATTTGAGCCGCGTAAAAACGCGAATGTGGCTCGCTAAATCGGCCAACCTTCCGCAGGTGAAAGAACATTTCACCTCCCGGCACGTATTCAAGCACCATATATAAATTTGAATTGTCCCTGAAATGGTATTTCAAAGTGACGAGGAACGGGAAACTGATTGCTCGTAAAATTTTCTTTTCGTCCAACGTGTGTTCTACCTGTTTCAACTTGACCACTTTCTGTTTGTCGAGTATTTTCATGGCATAATACTCCTTGGAAACCTTATGTTGTACGATCATGACACGGCCAAACGAGCCCGTACCCAACGTCTTGATACGGTCAAAGTCTTCGAGGGCCGCAGTGTTCGTCGGGTTCTTTTTCCACTTCTCCTCGAAATCCTCCTTGGCCTGGTCTAGGAACTCATTGACGCTCTCGGCCGAGTCGCTTTTCTCGGCGTTGCACGTCGCGTTCGATTCTTTACCTTCCAGGGCTCCCAACGAAGGAGTGGTCATTATAACTTACGTCGTTCAGCTGATTTCAGTGCGCTCCGCCGAACGTCCACTGCACGGTTGACCTCGCACGGCCTTCTCTATACTGTCAAACAAATAAATAGTGAGTGTGCGGCTATTACGTATGAGACTTGCAGCCTATAATAAAAGTTAGCGTCTCCGTGTATATAATAGTATCATCTTTACATAGAATATAAGACATAGAGTATTACTCTATGATATAAGATAATAATTTATCATAAATCATAATATTATTATCTTTCATTGTGGCTGAAAACCATAGAACAATCGGAATGGGTAAAATAATATGATCAAATCTGTTAAACAGAAAACATTACGGCCAACTCTGTAATAGTTCTGTAATGGTGTAATCTGTATAATATAAAATATCGTTATCGGTTTTTCGACGGGCGACTGTGAAGTAATTCCCAAATTAGAACACAACAACACGGTCAACACGGAATATCGTCGGGTCATTGCGCGTGCAGCGGCCAGCGAAGACTTTGAGAAAAACACCATTGTCTGGACTCTACTCGGCTGTCCAGTTCTGCCAGTCTGCGCAACGCGAGTGACGAGCGTGACAATCACGATTACAATATTTAAAGTCAATCGACAATCGGGACCGGGGTGAAAATAAATAACCGTTTTTTTCCTACAACCATACTCCACAGTACTGTGTCTCGGTGTTTTCGCTACCTACTTTCATTAAATACCTACCCAACTGTTTTTTGTTCAACCTCCGAACTTGGTGTGTTCTTTCGAATAGGTACCTATTTCTGATTAGTAAACACTAAACACAGGCTTCAGGTAATTAACAAGAATTTATCTACTTAATATATTTGTTTATAGAAGCAGTGGCGTATATACGAATTATTTTCACTATGGGCCAATTTATCGGCTAGGGAGGATGGGTGGTTATAATTATGACATGTACAGTACAAATAAAAATTGATCAAGTCAATTATATAATTATTATGTAAAATTAATTTGTTGGTTCTTTTTTTATAGATATTCACAGTGCCATAGCCATTTATACATTTTAATGTTATCTAACATGTTACTCTAACTTTTCCTTGTTGATTCCTCAAAAACAATTTTAATCAACCGGCTAACTTAATCATGGTGAAAAACTAAACAGTATACACGCAATGCTTTAATTGAACCTGCAATTTCACTATGGGCTTTGGCCCAGGGGGCCTCCCCAATATATACGCCACTGTATAGAAGATACAATTTAATAAGTAATATTCCTTTTCTTAGATTTTATTTTTTATTTAATAAGTAATATTCCTTTTCTTAGATTTTATTTTTTTTACTTTTATAAATTTGTTGTAGGTAGGTAGCTACTACAAATATAGGTACCTACCTACCTACCTACCAGCTGTAAGTGAAAACAATATTTAAAATTAAATTCTAAACTAGTAAATACCTACAAATTATAATATCTATTCATCATTCACTTGCTCTTGCAGGTATAAAAACAATAAAATCTTATTTTTACAGAATATAATATGTGGTCAGTCATCAAATTTGAAACGGATAATACTGTGGAGGTAGTCCCTTCGCATTGGTTTAAAAAAAATGGACAGTGTGCCTGGCCAAAAACCACAAGCAAAAAATACATACACAGAGCTGTTTTTAAGAAAATAATACCCAATAAAACCGATTTCAATTATTTTGATGCACGGTGTATGGCTAGAAATATCGGTAAGAAATTTAGAACTACCTATTTCAATTTTATTACTTACTATAAATGTAAACATAGGTATGACAGAATTATTTTTATATACAAGTATATTGTATTATATATTTATATGAATATATATTTCAATATTATAATGTGCCAAGTACATACCTAGATCAATTATAATATGTTATATCTACCTAAATAGGTACATTTTATATTATTTTTATTGTTTATTCTCTTATTTATTCATTTGTTCCAATATATTATCAAGTAGTGGCAGTGGCATGATGATGTTTATCTAATGCAATTGCTTAGCCCTAGAAATTTATTTTTTCATTTTTTATTTATGTGAATTAATTACTATAGTATTTTTTTTATACTAAATTATAGATGTCATCCTATAGCAAAAAAACTAAATTAGCATACAGCTTTAAATTATATATTATGTAGAAAGAAGTAATGCGTGGGTCATTGACCATTGTTTAAATACTTTGCTTAGGGATTGAAATATTCTCACCATGCCACTGTTATCAAGTGCTATATTATATTATATTACATTTTGAATATTTTGTTGTTCAGTTTTAATAGATTTAAAAATGTTGTACCTACCCGAGTACCTACCTATAACTATATTATTATTACAGCTCTAAAATAAATAAATAAATAATTGCATAGCCCATAGGTACATTAATATTTTTTATGTATTTCAACCTCTAGATAATTTTGCAAATGCCCAGAGAAAATGTGAGTTCGCAAAAACCAGATCAGATATCTCTTCTGGACTCTGGTGCTGATGAAAATCAATATAAAATATCCAAAAGGTTAAAGAATAGAAAACAAACTTTAATCAATTCAAGCTCTGAATCAGGTAAGATTTAATATTTCACTATCTATAATACAAAAATTTGCCAGTTATAGTAAATATTTAAGTAAGATTTTTCTAAATGATTTTATTTAAAACTATATGTAGGTATAATAGTATATATAGTATATAGTATAATTTAATTATATTAAAATTGTACTATTGTTGTTAGAGGAAGGTAAAAAGTAAAAAGTATAAAGGCATTCTTGGACAAACTGAGCAAAGTAGTGAATACGTAAAAGTCTGAATAATAATGATAATATTATATAGGTAGTTATAATCTCTAGGTTAAGTCATGAAGTTTATATAGTAATATATAAAGTTTATATAGTAGTAGACATACCTATATATATTTCACAAAGATAACTATGGATAGAATTTGAATATTGTATATTCATTTTTTAGTACCTACAAGACTATGTTGTAATCTAAAAATCAATAATAGTTAATATACAATGGTGTTTGTATTTCAATACTGATATTTTTTTTTATATGGTGTAGATAGAGAACAATCTTCAGATGATGATGACAATGATATGCCTAGTTTAATTTCAGGTAAAATGTAAAATTAATATATAATGATTTGAATTAATTTTTAGTTTTGAAGTGTGTATTCATTTGATTTTTTTCTATTAGATACAGAACATAATATTCTTCTTGATAAATCAAATCATGACAATTAAAATATAGCGTTGACAGTGCAGTGGACGTTCGGCGCAGCGCACTGAAATCAGCTGAACGACGTTAGTTATAATGACCACTCGTTCGTTGGGAGCCCTGGAAGGTAAAGAAGCGAACGCGATGGGCAACACCGCGAAAAGCGACTCGGCCGAGAGCGTCAAAGAGTTCCTCTACCAGGCCAAGGAGGATTTCGAGAAGTGGAAAAAGAACCCGACGAACACGGCGGCCCTCGAAGACTTTGACCGTATCAAGACGTTGGGTACGGGCTCGTTTGGCCGTGTCATGATCGTACAACATAAGGCATCCAAGGAGTATTATGCCATGAAAATACTCGACAAACAGAAAGTGGTCAAGTTGAAACAGGTAGTAGAACACACGTTGAACGAAAAGAACATTTTACAAGCAATCAGTTTCCCATTTCCTCGTCAGTTTGAAATACCACTTCAAGGACAATTCCAATTTACATACCTATATACCTATAGTAAATTGGAATTGTCCTTGAAGTGGTATTTCAAACTGACGAGGAACGGGAAACTGATTGCTTGTAAAATGTTCTTTTCGTTCAACGTGTGTTCTACTAGAACACAACAACATGGTCAACACGGAATATCGTCGGGTCATTGCGCGTGCAGCGGCCAGCAAAGACTTTGAGAAAAACACCATTGTCTGGACTCTACTCAGTTGTCCAGTTCTGCCAATCTGCACAACGCGAGTGACGAGCGTGACAATCACGATTACAATATTTAAAGTCAATCGACAATCGGGACCGGGGTGAAAATAAATAACCGTTTTTTTCCTACAACCATACTCCACAGTACTGTGTCTCGGTGTTTTTGCTACCTACTTTCGTTAAATACCTACCTAACTGTTTTTTGTTCAACCTCCGAAATTGGTGTGTTCTTTCGAATAGGTACCTACCTATTTCTGATTAGTAAACACTAAACACAGGCTTCAGGTAATTAACAACAATTATAATATTATCTACTTAATATATTTGTTTATAGAAGATACAATTTATTTAAGAAGTAATATTCCTTTTCTTAGATTTTATTTTTTTTACTTTTATAAATTTGTTGTAGGTAGGTAGCCACTACAAATATAGGACCTACCTACCTACCAGCTGTAAGTGAAAAAAATATTTAAAATTAAATTCTAAACTAGTAAATACCTAAAAATTATAATATCTATTCATCATTCACTTGCTCTTGCAGGTATAAAAACAATAAAATCTTATTTTTACAGAATATAATATGTGGCCAGTCATCAAATTTGAAACGGATAATACTGTGGAGGTAGTCCCTTCGCATTGGTTTAAAAAAAATGGACAGTGTGCCTGACAACATGAAACTTAATGGTTGGTCTCCATTAAAAACAAACGTGACTGACGCCGAAGTAAATTTGTTAGGTATATAACATGAGTTTTTATACCTAGTATTTTTTTCAATACTTTAAAAGAACCTATGAAAAAAAATTAGTTATATACGTTATGTAACATTAATATTATTTAATTTACTATATTTTCACAGAAAAAAATCCTAATACATATTGCAATCTTGAAAAAGAAATATCGATTGAAAAACCTTCAACTCCTTTAATAATTGCAGGTGGTCGTTCAAAATCATTTTTTTCTGGAGGTGATTTTAATGTTTCATTATTATAACTCAATATCTATATATTATTTCTATAATTTAAATAATGTATGGCTCTTTTTTGTTATCCTCAGCAAGAAAAGAATCTCCTTTATTTAATGAAAAATTAAAAACCATAAATAAAGCATCAACATCATCTTCTTACAGTAGAATATATTTTTATAATTGTTTTAAACTATTATAGCATTCTCATACTTTTTGTTATTTGTTATAAAACATAACATAATTTAACAAAATAATTAAATTACATGATTTTATGCTGTATAATATTTGCAAATCTAAAATTAAAATTTGAAAGAGCTAGTATATTTATGAATATATTATTTTGGTATGCATAATTTGTTAATTGTTTCTCTAGTGCGCATATTATTAGGTCTTATTAGTTATTATCATGTTTTTAATTGTTCAGCTTCAAACACTTATAAAAATAATTATACAATCATTCATATTATTTGTAGTATATTAAATGATTTCATATTTATTTTTCAAAGGAGCAAAACAAAGTTTACATTTTGACCAGACTGACCTTTTGAAACTTGACAGTTCTGAAATTCCTGCATCTACGACAAATTATGATGATTCTTTGATATCTGCAGGTTCATCTGGTTAGTACTATAAACTATTAATAGTCTATAATTTTTTTTTAAATTATATGTTTTTAGTAATTTTATGTTTTTGTTAGTAAGAAAAAGTATGTTGACAAATTTGACTATGGTTAAAAATGGTAAGTAACAATACAATTTTAATCAAATTTAAACAGTTTCAATATATTTATAATTTATATTAATTTAAAATAAATAATGTAGTTATAGTTATCATTATACATTTTATAACAAATAAATCATTGGTAACCATAGTCTAATAATATGTAAAAAAAAAAAAAATTGTATTTATACTTTAATGTTATGGATATAGGTACTATATATTATTCTAATTCATACACTAAAATAAAAATATATTCTTTTCTAATATAATATCTTTTATATGTTTTTGTGAAAAGATAATGGTTTTCAAAAGTCTCTCCTCCACCAGCTGCTTATCATGAAATTCGAAATACGTACAATTGATGAAAAACTAAATAATCTTACCCAACTTGTAGAAGAAAATAATAACAACTTGAAATCCAAGATTAATGAAACTGATATTTCTGATAATTATCAGTTTGATGACATAGACTTGCCGATAAACTCATTAGATATGTTGGACAATCTTGAAATAAAATTAATGAATGATAAAACTTATCGTGCTCATTTTGGTATTCATCCTATTATTTATATTAAATTTTATATTGATTAGATATATTATAAACTTGTCTTTAATAGTTTAATTTGTAGGTAAAACGACTTTCGGCAATCTGTGGAAAAACCATTAAGATTATGGTAAAACGAATTATGTCTATGTTGTTTATGCAAGAACTTCTTTGTGAATTTTCATACAACGGGCGTGGCAATAAAAAACATAGTTTTTCTAAATTAATGGTAAATTAATTAATTTTTCGTAAGTACTCATATATATATATTTATATATAACTTTTATGTATAAAATGTTAAATTACTTGCTATGACCTAGAATTGTAGGTATAATTGCACTATATTATATATATTAGTTTGATAACTGATAAGTGATATTTTCTTTTGTACATTCAACAATACCAGCCGAGTTCTGTTCTCTTTTTACTTGTTTTAAATAGACTTTAAACATCATCAGTGACAACATTTAAATGCCTAAACCTCATACCTATTTTATCTTACAAATATTGTCTATCATAAGTGTTACATTTTGTATTAAAAAAAGAGATATAATAAACATGAGTCATTCCTTTATCAACAAAATATATTTTACAAAAAAAGGACTGAATAGTGTTCTTAATATAATTAATAATAGAATATAAACTTCAGTTATCATTATAACATTATTTAACTTAATTTTAAAAAACCTATATATGTGTAGTATAATGATTTTGCTATATTATTTGTAAACTACTGACAAAAAGCTAAGATTAATACATGTAAGATGATTTTCATATAGTTTTAACTATATTTTGAATATTAGTTTCTGTTAGTTAGGTAAAAAAAAATAAAATTCAAATCAAGAAGTTTTCTATGATAGAAACTTGTACTAATCACATAGAAGAAGACAGAAGTTATTAAGTATGTGCTGATTCAATCCTCATTTAAATTTAAAAAAAAAAACAGGATTCTGTAGTGGTTATTACTATGGCAAATTAACCATTAATTTTTTTTTTGTATCTATGCAACGCTTTTTCCATGGATGGTGGCAATGAGTGTTATTTTTATTTATCTCAAATGAACCTGGAAAGCCACCGGATTAATTTTTCGATGAATTCTTATTTTACTTATTTTTATTATATTTAAATCTAATGGCCATTTATTTGCAGTTGTCAAGGCAAATAATTATTATGTTTTAAAAATTTATGTATTGTGTAACTTTAATATTGATGGACAGTTCATTACTTATGCGGATGACACATGGTAAAATCAATAGGTATATTCATCGATCCGCTCAGAATCTGAAATACATTTTTGAATTTCTCCTTATGTAGTTATTAGTTAAAACTAGCAAAACTGTGAAGTGTGAGTATTATATAAACATAATAATTAATAATACATTACAAAAATAAACAGGTATGTGAATGAGCTTGTTGAAAGGTACGTTCATTATATCTAGTGTTCTGTGTTTTATAACTAAGGTTCTATTCAATATTTAAATTATTAATGCAAATATTGTTATTAAGTAACCCGATACTACTTATGTAATCTTAATAATTCTTTTTAAAAACCCATATTAAATAAATTTTCACGTGCTGGGTGTTACCACTGGGTAATTCCCCAAAATCTTTATATTCTTTGTTAATTGTTTTAGTACTCTTCTATCTCATCTAATTATTGTGCATATTTTTGTATAGATTGTAGATTGTCTTTTAACTCAATAAAAAAAAAAAAAATTCTTTTTAAATGTTACGGTTATTTTAAATTAATATGGGGATGTAATGAGTCGGACCTATATTTACAAACCTTGATATTACAGATTAAAATATTATCAAATACAACATTTCTAAAAAAATAAAATGTAATTTTTATTCAAATCCTCTACTTTACTTATCATATAAAATGATTTGCAACAATTTAAACAAAAAAATTGTCTAAGAGACAATCAATTTAAAATCTTATTCCTTACATTACACATTTTTTATTATTTTAAATTTTAAAACCAATGATTATTATAAAACTATAATTACAAAGTATTTAATGACTTAAACTCATTGTTTTGGTTGATAACTGTCATCACCAAATACATCACTTTGAAATATTTAAACATAATGTCAACATTAATTTATTTCTAATGAAATAAACACGTATTTTGCAGTAGGTTATTCTAGGATATTTTTTAAAAATCTATTTTATTAAGTACTAAAACTAACAATTTTTGTTCATATTTTCAAATTAAATTATACTATGTACATAGGTATAAGAATGAAACTTAGTATATTTAATTAACATATATACCAAATTTGTATTTATAACAAAAATTGAATAAAATAATTTCTTGTAACATCAGAATATAAAATCAAATCAAATTATATATATAACACAGTATAATGACATTTATGCAAGTATTTAAATCACTTTTTGGTACCTATTTGTATAATTTGCTATCTATGACCTAATTGAGGGATAACATATAACTATATAAGCTAACAAGAATTAATTTTTTGTAACAATTTCAAATACTTTTAAAGAGGCCATTTTAGCCCAGATAACAAGAATACTGTCATAACAGTTTTTTTTAACTATGTTTAGCATAATATTATGTCTTATCATAATATGTATAATTCATATCAATGGAAAGCAAATTTTAATTTAAATTATCTGATTATCATGATAAGCTCAAAATACGCATTTAATAGCTCCAAAAACAAGTAAAATGCCTTGAAAAAATACAATTTAATGCACTTATAAATAAAAACAGCTAAGAAAAATG